TTGGTTATGATCCAAGTCGAGATTCCCAACCTCCCCAGTTTGTTTTTGGCCCTCTTTTTATCTCGATTTGGTCAGCTTTTTATTCCCCCATGTCCGTATATATTTTCTCCTTTTCCCACTCCCTTAGCGAGAGAGCCTCTTGATTTTGTCCAATGGGCAAAATACAGCGGCCTCTCTCCGTCTTGAATGTTGGACGGGCACTACTAACATCAGGTATGTTTAGTTCACTTTGTGTTCATGTTTAGTTTGTTATTGGATTCATCTCCTTTCCCACTCATTTTTCATTTTAATTTTATATATAGTTTATTATCATTAAATTTTTATGGCATGTGGCGCGTTTCGTAGGTTCCCCTTGAGAGGATGTGGTATTATGGTGTATAGAGGATTGATTGGTGACGGAAGAGTTTTTATGGTGAATGCGCAAATAGTAATGAGTGAATGGGTCGTGAATCGGATTAGCTAGGTATAAGATAGATAGTGTCGACCAGCCTTAACCCTCCCCTTTTTTCGGCCTTGTGCCATAATTCTAATTTTATGCAATAAATATTCATTAACATTCTTTTGTTCTGAATGATTAAAGAAAACTTCGCAGGGAATAAGCGTATTATTATAATATTATATAAGTATATATTATGGTTATACGTTATTTTATTAGATACAATTTATTTAAATGCTCTGTTTTTAAAATAAACTGTATTAATTACATTTACCAGCCTGAATGTTTGAGAAATTTTGTAGAAAATATGTGCTTCTCCGTCAGGAATTGAACCTGTAACCCCAATGGCTACCATCATTTGATGGGCTGTTAACCATTCAGCCACAAAGAAGTATCTGGTTTGCTAAATCCGAATTACTGTTTATAAACAATACATCTTTGACGATCTTTCTTCAGTAATCATATCTGCTCCCGAAACGTACCTTAACATAAACAATGACAACATATTATGAAATGGATTAAGTCCGACAATTATTTAATACATTTTCTGTTTATATGTTTATATATAAAATATACACTTGGTTCAAAGAAACAGTCAAATCTTCCATGTGAAAGAGGAATTCGCTATGCTGCCTAGCAACAATTACTGCTAAGTATCTGTCTATATCTCTAAGATGAGGTATTATGATAACTTCGGACTGTTATCCTCATCTTCATTACCATATTCACAACGTTTCGGCCGTTGTACGTTCCGGCCTTCTTGGAATTTCAAAACGAACCCTTTATTTTGTCCAACGGGGTAGATTCTTCTATTTCCACGTGCCATGCCTCTTCCGGATGAACTCAAAATTCTTTGGTGTAGTTACTGGATCTAACCAACGTGTTTATCCACTGGGACATGTGCCCGTGAGGACATCTGTGTATGAATTTTTGGCACTTATAAGCCTAATGTCTCTGCAAGCAAAGGGAAAATACAAAAATCAAACTTAACTGACCACATATGAAGGGAAAAGGGAGATCACTGCCCCCCTGTGGGACGAGGTTAAAATATTAGACATCACTGGAAAATACGAAAAGTTAAGGAATCAGCACATATACTAAGCCACAAAAATCTCCTAACCCGACCAAGCAGAGAAATGAATACGAAATAAGGTGTTCGGTTCAAAATTCCAATTAACTGAAGAAGGCCGGAGCGTAAAATATGCTGAAAATTACAGCAGGTCGAGTGCCCAATAATTTTCTACGTGTATCTTACATGCGGTACAAGTCTGAAAGTATGGTGCACCGAGTGAGGATCGATCTCAGTATTCAGTTTAACTGATCTAGCCAGACAAGCTCGCTAACCATTACACCACATGGAATCGACCCAAGTTTAACAGCCTATGTGTTAACTGCTATTGATTAAAACGTCTATCGATAAGAACACGACCAGTCTCGGACTGCGACTTTAGCTATCTGGAAGGCATTTGATAGTCTTTGGCATGCTGGCCTTTTTCACAAATTGAAGAGATTTGGTGTCTCTGGCCGAATATTCGACTTGATCCATATTTCTTAACAGATCGTGTAATGAAAGTCATTTTGAACGGCCAATCTTCTTGATCTTTTCACATTAATGAGGAAACAACAGCGCTCTATTCTTGGACATAACTTCTTTCTTATATCCATCAGCGATCTTCCCGGTATCATCAATTCCCAAACTTATTATTTATGTTGTATTCATACTATTTACTACAGTCTAATCGTGGCTACAATAGATCCGACCTCGAATCAGTTAACTGCGACAAGAAATGGCTTGTAAATGGTTCCAAAACGAAAGTGCTATATTTTGGTCATCAAACTATTCTTACCTTCTGTCAGCATGACTGATGATAACCCCCAGAAGAGCAAATCATTGCACCCTTTTTGGTATCGCCTTTGCCACTGACATACAGTAGAATGATTATACTGAATCAACTGCTAGGTCTGCTGCTAGGAAAGTTGGTTCACTCTGTCGTGGCAGACAATTTTTCTCTCCAGTATCCATCTGACATATTTATAAATCTACCATTCGTCTGTGAATTGAATATTGCTGGCATATCTGGTCTGGTGTCTCTGTTATATATCATGAGATCCTCTACAGAATTCAAAGAAGGGTCTGTTATGCTATCGGCCCTGACCTGGCATCTCAATTCTAATCACTTTCCCATCGCCGTGACATGCCTTCCGAGTGTCTTTTTCTAGAAATATTTTCATAGCAATTTTTCTAATGAGTTTTTGCGACCGCATGAATTTAATCGTACTACTAGTTTGGCAATTAGGTCTCACAATCTTACTGTTGAAATAGCTATATATAACCGTAAGTTCTATTCTAATAGTTTCTTCTTTGAGGAAATCTTTTCCGCTTTCTTGCTTCCCTGCAATCTGAGACCGTTAAAAATCCAAAACCAACGTCAATCACCATCTTCTGTCTTCCTGAAAACTGTCCTTTTATTATCCTTTCGCCTGACGAGCGTCTTCAAATTTTCTTTCACTCTCAGTAAACCCTTGCGTCTTAGTGTCATTACCGCCTTACTTGGAGTAAAAAATATGAAAGAAATATTAGTAGAAAATACCAAAACAACCCATAGTACTCAATGAAAGGCTCAAAACTCTAAAAGATATTATACAAAATAAACATTAAATAAAATATCTTTCACTGTAGGAGATGATATCTTGAAAATGCATATGATAGAATTAATTTGTGAATATATATATATATATATATATTATATATATATATATATATATATATATATATATATTCACAAATTAATTCTATTAAAAAAAAAAAAAAAAAAACAAATGAAAACTACAGACAAAAGTTCATTTTCTCCATCAAGACATTCATTTCTGTAGTTCACTGCTACTAGAAAGCAGAAATATTTCTCCTCCCGATGAATCTAAATGGAATAATAATAAAAAAAAACGAAAGAATATTAATCTACAACCCAGTGTGTCTAAAGATTTTAATTTTTTATTTTCTTATTGTTCAATATATATATATATATATATATATATATATATATATATATATATATGGTTGATTAGAATGTTCGCTTTCTGGCCATGAGACCCGGATTCGAAACTTCCTGATGTGGGGACCATCCCAGCGTGCCTGAAACCCACACCACGGGTTGACCCAAGCCTTTTGTGTGAAATTGGGCAGACGGAAACCCTTGGGGGTCGTCGATAGCTGTGCTAGCACGAAGTCACAAGTCATCGTGACCGAGGTTTTGAGTGTACTAGTGTTATTCAGATTGTTGATCATTCTACGTAACACGCTCTCTCCCAGGAACTGTAACTAAGGTCTGCTCAGCATAGTTGCAGTATAAACCACAGGTTGGCTACGTGGGTGTTGAACAAACACAAAAGTGCCTGAGTGAGAGTCTGCATTAGAAATTGGGTATGCTCGAATACGAGTGACCAGCTATTGTATATATATTACGATTACATTCTTTTCGGTGTGATCTTGGTCCCAAGAAACGTAAGACATGGCATCACATGATGTTGCCACGTTAACAAAGCTGAGTCTGATGAAATCCTTAAGGATGAAACGCAGCTCAAAAACTATTTTACAATTTGTCATACTACACACACACACACACACACACACACACATATACAGATATATATATATATATATATATATATATATATATATATATATATATATATGGTGTATTATAGCATAATTTGCAACCCCAGAACTCTCATTTATGTATTTAAATTTAATTAGAATGCTGCATCTCCGATCATGTCAGGGTCATCACTGTGGCATGTTGAATATTCAAAGTCTTGCTTTGTTACTCATTAGCTTGGCCTTATGAGCATTTCATACCATGTGTTTGCCATCGCAGTGATCTGTGAATGTTGGTTCTGTTTAATTGTGTTTCGTACGCATTTCTCTCAATGGTACTTGCGACAGCAACTAGTACATGAATGTGGACGTGCGAATTAAAGGACAAATGCATGCTGAAATAAATGAAAACAGATTTATTTTCTGTTTCTAGATTAATGAATAAATTAATAGATATCTAACCTTACTCCCTTTCACTAACACGCGTGCCGCACACCCCCTCCTGTTAAGACATAGGTTCTCCGCTGGGATGGATGAAGCCGACCGCTGACCAACTAACCATTTACGACGGAGAAGTGCTAGAGCGGCTTGGGTCCGGTGTACCCTTCTTTTATACGTTTGTAACGCTTAATGTTGTTTCTTGATTGGTTGATTCTGTCGTCATCTATTTTCTGGTTCTTTTGTGGTTCTTAACATTTTTTAGTTACTTTCTTTGCTACACCAGAGTTAATTACAGCTTGTGATTTAGGGAAGAAGTTAAAAGAAATTAAATGTATTTTTTGATCAACTATCTTTGATTTGTGATTTTTTTGTTTTCAACTGGAAGTTTATCCATTTCTGGGTTTACTATACTTTCTCGTCTACAGTGATTTTTGCACGAAGGGTCCTCCATAAGATTGCTACATTTATTTGCAAGAAATATCGGGAACATCTTAAACTTCAACTGGATCAGACGTGCAGTGAGTGAACAATTTTATCTTAGAAAGAAGGAAGAAGCAGCAAAGAAACGGAAAAAAAACTTGAGGTGAAATTAGAGAGAGAGAATTTGAGAAGAAGCACTGTGGTAGGAGTATGAACAGAGAGAGAGAGAGAGAGAAGTTAAAGACTGAGCGGTAAGAGTGACACCGTGTATCTGTGTCCGAGTGTGTGTATGTGTGCGCGTGCGCTTTCGGAAAAACGAAGGAGAGGGGACAATAAGGAAAGTGATTGATTTATTTTTACAGTTTATCAACACTTTGAGATTTATTTAAAGCTGAAATATATTTTGGTTTGAAAAAATAATTCCGTTCTTTCTCTGCAAGTGAATATTGCATTAAAAATATTTTTTTAGAATAACGATGATTTTTACCAGATCAGTCAGTTAAGTGCTCTATGTGATACACGCTTAGACGATCATGTATCTTTCGATACATGACTGACGAGGCAAATTTTTCCCGCAGTAAATTGCCATTATTTTCTGCGGTAGACCAATTGCCATGCAAGGCTATAGAATCCGGTCTGTCCTGCTGGGGGAGAAGAGGATTCATACCTTTCCCAAGTGTATTAGCACGTAAGCGAACGGAATGGATTCAACTCCGATTCCTAAATCAGAGTCGCTATCCATTACTCCACCGTACCTCCTCCTTTTACCAGATGTAATTTCCTATTTATTGTCCATAGATGAGGTCGATGAATTCATGCCTTTCCCATAGTTATTCGCGCTTAAGTAACGAACCCGACTGGAATTTGAACTTGGTTCTTTATGATCTCTTGCCAAGCCGCCATTCGTTACAACAGTGACACATTCACAATGAAGAGATATTAGATAGTGATAGAAAGAGATTAGAATTTGATACAAGAATGAAGATAGTGAGAGAAAGAGAGATGAAATGGAATAGGGGAGAAAATGAGAGACAGACGAGAGGGTTTTGATGGGAAGCGAGAGGCGAGCATGAAATTCTCGTCAGACAACCGTGCTTTGTTGAAATATATTCTGTATTTACAGTCGGAAACTCTTTGTCGCAACCGACACCGAGGGAGGCGAGTCTGCCGGCGTTTCGGCATCCCTGGATGCACGACTGCAGAACAGACAGGGGTGGCATCTTGGCCACCAACACCGAACGTTCCAGTAATCGAGCGTCGACAGTTTCAAAATTCCCCAGTGGCCAAAGCAGTAGAGACGCTTCAGTAGAAAAAGAAAAAAAAAAAACGTCAGCAGACTTCTGAATAGGAATGCAACACATTTGGAAAGGTATCGTCTGACTACGTGCATATAAAATATATATATATATATATATATATATATATATATATATATATATATATATATATATATAATTACTTTACTTATTTACTTATGTCTACAGGAGTCCTCAATTTAAAATACTTTTGAAATAGCTTTTAATACATATAAAATAACATTTTATTATTATTTGATCATATATATATATATATATATATATATATATATATATATATATATATATATATTGTATTTAGGCAGCAATCCTTCATTTATGCATGTTTCATTAAAAACGACAGACAATGTAGTACGTTTAACCTTTTTATTTAATTTTGCTTGTGTTCGAACAAGTGTTTTCTTTTTTGGACACAGAGTGTGTAGAAACTATTCAAATGTTCTATAATTCCGAACGCTTTCGGCTATATTTTTAGTCATTATCAATGATGATGATATTTTTTCAATTTAATTGAGTGTGTGCGTTATGTGTATGGTTTTAGTGTGTTATAGAGATGTATTTATTTGTAATTTTTGACTTACATAAATATTTTCTTCAAAAACCAAATGCACATTAACTACAAACAAGACGAATCTTCACTTAGAAATATTATAAAGACATGCATTACCCCAATTGACCCGAATAAAAAAATCAAATTAATTATCTATTATAAAAAAATTAAGACAGCTAACCTTATCCTCAAAAACAACAACACATCAGCTAAGTCAAAATTAGAACGAACGAACTTTATCTATGAGTTCAAATGCCCCTTAAGAAACTGTGTTCCTGATCAAACCGAACTCATAAATAATTACATCGGTCACACAACTACATGTTTATCTAGACGCCTTACGTTACACCTATCTCACCATAGCTCCATTAAAACCCATTTAAATATAAACACAAACTTACCAGACTCTATTTGAAACATAATAATAGAAAACACAAACATAATAACCTCATCCACTTGTAAAACAAGATTAAAAATAATGGAAGCCCTAATAATAAAAAAGTAAAAGCCAACTCTTAATAATAGTAACTACGAACAAGGCCACAATGTGCTAACCGTGTTGGGAAAATAAAACATCTCTATAACACACTAATAGCATACACATAACGCACACACTCCATTAAACTGAAAAATAAAATTATCCTTGATAATGGCTAAAAGTATAGCCGAAAGCGTTCGGAATTGTAGAACATTTGGACAGTTTCTACATACTCTGTGTCCCAAAAAAGAAAGCTCTTGTTCGAATACAAGAAAAATTAAATAAAAAGCTTAACTGTAGTAGCATGTCTGTCGTTTTAATGAAATATGCATATATATATATATATATATATATATATATATATATATATATATATATAAGAGAGAGAGAGTGAGGGAGCAGATGTTTGAGGACTGCCCGTGATAGATAAATTGATATGAATAAGGTTACATATGAAGTAAATGCAAAAGAGATGAATGTAACAGACAGATAGATAGATAGATAGATACGGAGATTGAAATTTAGATTCTGTGAATGTTATTCAAGGATGAAAGGTTACATCTATGTAAGATTTTAGACAAATATTTTGGGTAGGCTACCAAAAATGGAATCTACTTTGTTTAACATGTCCGCTCATCAAAGGAACACAAGATAATTTTTGAAATCATTTTTGATTTTACCACTCATCCTACTTTATCTTCTAAGTAGAACGTTTGTCAGAATCGAAAGATTTTAATTGTTTATCATTTTATTAAGTTGTCCTCTTCATAATATAAATAAAGTGTCAAATCGCTCCCTGATTTGTTGAAATGATTTATATTTTGTTTTTATTTACAAGTTTAAACTTTTCCCACGTTAAGGATAACAACGGACTATTAATATTGTTCTTTTTTTCCGATTCCAGATTATTTTAAATAATTTTTTGTAAATTTCTTTTTAGATGAAGAACAAATGGATATATACATTTTTAGGCTATCTATTAATATATCTAAATGACGTCATTTTATTAACATGTCTCAGTTTGAAAAATGTGGAAAACCTCGAATTGTTAAAAAAAAAAAAATGACAAACATCAGTTGTACAAATCCTGAAATAATTTTCATGTTCAAGGAGGCGTTTAAAAACGTCTGGAAAATTTTGAAAAAGACTTTTAACCTCGCGACTCCATCTAGACACGAATACTGCTAAAATCTTTTTATATCAGCTCGATAACGATATGTCCACCGCAGCACGCTCATACCGTTAGCTTCAGAATTGCGACAGTCAATGTATTTCTTGTGACGCTTGTATGTGTTAGCTTTTAAACTTCTGTGCAGAAGAAAGACTGTATTCCCATGTGGTCAGTTCTAATTTGTGTCTATATTTTAAATAATAATGAATAAAAAGTAACTCCGATCATCATACTTGTAGGTAGCTAGTATTTCATTAACATTGATCTACGTCCTCACCGAAGGCTGGTTTACAAACGGATTCAGAGAATTCCGTTTTAGAAACAGAAACAGACAAACGACTCTAGTCAACGCGACTAACAATTCAGAAACATCCAATTTCTCAGATCAATTATTAAAAATGGCTTCGATCGATTGTATCCTCTAGGTCTTAGTGAGGACCATTCTTCTTCGAGTCTTGTAGACTGATGTTACAGAATAACGAAGAACTTTACCAAATAACAGAAACCACATCTCTTGTGAACTGTCAACAGCATTTCTAGTGCCTCTATCGCATTGTTTGCAGTGAAATGACAAAAAAGTATGTTAATATTGACCAGTGCAGAAATTTTCAGTTGCATCACTTCACAACGTTACCATGACAACGGTGGAGATACGCAGTCTGTTTGGCCCCAGGGAAATAGCAGATGGCAGCGTTAGAGAAATATCACCGCAATATTACAAATCCCCGAACCAAAATAGACCTATTCGGCAATGTCGTAAGAACGTTGCGTGTTAGTTTGAAAGAACGGAAAGCCGAGGAAGAATAGAAAATATTCCAGATGCCTCCCATATTAAATATCAGCATGAATACTAAGGAAGGTGCTGGAGTAAAGAGAAGACTTACTGTTATTTGATCTCAAATGAATGCCACCAGATTATCATTGTTGTGAAGTCATTCACTCGGTTCCAATAATGTTTGGAAGGATATATTTATAAATTGTACAGACATTGATCGTCACACCAAACCGGAAAGAATACGATTGAGCAACATCAGCTCCCATACCAAGTTCCAGCTCTACACATTATGTATTCATCTTCCTCTACTGGTGTGAGACTTGAAAAAAAGGTTCCAGCCGTTCGAGAATAAATGCTTGAGAAAGCTCCCCCGCATCTCCTACTAGAAGCACAAAATCAATAACTATGTAGAGAGCAAGGTCAAAAGTCGCATGGACCGACTGGAATCTTTTCTCGCCACGATTAAGCGTCAGAAGATGACATGGTTTGTGTTGGAATGTCCCACACTCCCTATCGCCTATGTAGAATGACTATATAAGTAGCTATATATAGTAAGCACAGAATATACCTGAGGACTTGCTTCGGCAATAATTTGAAGATTTATCTCTAGCGAAGCTGGTCGAACTCTCTGCCTTCGGGCGGAGAGGAATCCAAACAAGGCTATGCCAAAGGGCAGAGTCTTGTCTGGGGTGGTAGACAGCTACCCAACCCCGTTTATTATGGCGTCTACGGGGAATTTTTACCCGAGCCTATGGGCTCCGATACCCCACGTTAAATTCGGCCTTGTGACACATCTGACCGCATGAGGCGGTTGGCAAATATCCTTGCTTCGGCAATTAGCTATGCCAAAGGGCAGAGTCTCATCTGGAGTGGTAGACAGCTACCCGACCCCGTGTATACCGGGGAATTTTTAACCGAGCCTACGCGTGGCCGTAAGGTAAATAACCTTGATCCAAGAATTACTAACCTGCCACCCTATTTCCTGTCTTTCTGTAGTGTATTCTCTTTTAAAATAAACCTATCTACTGACATTTACGCGCGTGTTACTTCACTCGAGTACCACCATTGTCTATTTGCAACCTCTTAGCAACAGTTTTGGTTACGTCATTCGATATAACAGTCTCTACAAAATCATCTTGCATGGCACTGATGAAGCCCGACACAGACGGACACAGGCGGAGACGGCAACACAAGAGCTGGTCAGACAAAAGAGTGGACGGACATGACAATGCTGGGATTCTTGAGAGGCACCATCAACATATAATACTGGGTGAGGTTGTCTGTTTCTTCAGCACTTAGGTGACCCCACGAATGAAACAGTCATGGGACTTATGATGACGATGACAAATAATAGCAGCATTAAATTATTAGGAGAGATACTAATAAAAAATAAGAACTAACATATACTAATATATAATAATAAAAATAAGAACTAATATATACTAATAAAAAATAAGAACTAATATCTGTCTATATTTCTGAGATTGGGTATTATGCACACTATTTACATTGCTCGGACTATCATCCTCATCTTTGTTGGCATATTTATCACAACGTGCTTGCGGACGCGTATTTTTACACTTCTCTTCAACCAAGAACCACTGGATGAGTTTTATTCTAAAGCCGTAAGAGGATGAAGTAAGAAGTGCAAATCATACTGATCGGGGAGTTTGTTTCGTAGCGATAACAATACTATGTAAATGTAAATAGCGACAGAGTAGCAAGAGGCTTGCAATACAGTAAGTTGAGAAGAGCACTACAGATAGATAGATAGATAGATAGATAGATAGATAACAGACTGAGCTATCTAGCTCGCAAGATAGATAGATAGATAGATAGATAGATAGATAGATAGATAGATATAAACAGGCTAAAATAGAATGATAGTTAACAGACTGAAATTGGATTCTTTGATAATCTTTTATATTCTCTTAATAAATGCACTGATGGCGTCGTTGGGTTTTGCATGCCTGTAATTTTTATAGCTTTCCTGTTTGGTGAGCAGTTTACGCAGGACATCGACAATGGAATATAATTTATTCCCAAAGAAGTGTCTAAACAACAGTCGCGGTGAAAAATAGTGAAACAATTTTTCACTCCTTTCGAAACAGCTGAAAAAAGACAAAACTAAACACTCGTCAAAGTACAATGAAAAGGCAATGTTAATGAATAGTTAATTATAAGAAACTAATTTGTTGGGATAGAAGAAGAAGAAGAAGAAGAAGAAGAAGAAGAAGAACAACAACAACAACAACAACAACTGCAGCAACAACAACAACATCAGCAGCAATAAAGAATTGTGTCAGCCTGGGCATAACTGCTTTAGTGCAATCTCTGACCTTTCTTCTTTTCAGGTAAATGATAATAAATGGTTAGTTTAATCCCCACTTTATGACCATTTAATGAGCCTAGCACAAGGCCAGATTTTAGGGGGAGTTTGGTGGGGAGAAGATTATGTTACGCCAATTTTCAAATTGAAGAGGTCTTGCAATTCGCATGCACCAGCAGCAGTAATGCTGGTTTATACCTGAACTCAAATACCGAATCTCACTCAGGAGCCTGGCAACTAACCTTATTATCACTAAAATCAAGGCAAATTAATGTCCTTTCCTTGTTTATAATAATAATAATAATAATGTACTCAAAAGTACAGGTTATCTATGTAAAATGTGTGCCATCTGAGGTCTTTTTTTACAAAAATGATCAGCCAAATTGAAATTCCCGTCTCGCCCATTGCGTTCACTTTCGCATTAAAGTATCAATTTTATTCCTAGTTAAATAGCAGATTAGATCATGTTGCCCGGTTTTGGTTTTTAACTAATCTAAGAGAAGGAAACTACTTAGAATCTAGGAGCATACAGAGAAAGCTGTTAGACATTTTGACGGTCGTCTTCGAGTATAGAATCCAGAGGTTGGCAGTGAATATTTCGGAGACAGTAGGAAAGGGCAGTTCAGGTTCGCAGTAGATATCGTAGCAAAGTAGCAGAGCGTAGTTCTTCCTTCTATCATGTTCGCCTGTCAAGTTGGCACTGGTCTTTCCGGTAGGGTAAACAAAAAATGGCCGCCGTTATAATGTTCTGCGGCTTCTGATTGGTTAACCTTCTACTGGTAGACTATAAAGGAAGTTAAGTCATTTGGATTGGCTCACTAGTTACATATACCCCCAAAAAAACCGTAACAAAAGCAACATAGAAAAACTTCATGTATATTTCCAAATCAGATCAGGGATTACTTCTTGTTGCAGGTACCATGTAACCAAGTACAATCTGCCACATTTTGGTACCAAGTACTTTCCACTGTCCGTTAGTTTTGAGATTTCTGGCGTTGTGTCTATTATTATTTCACAATTACTAGTGCAGTTGTAGCTTAATTTAACTGTGTTTTTATTAAATATCTTATGTAATTCTGAATTTTGGGGGATTTTTTTAGTAAGCAACTTGAAAAATAATTCCCCTATTTTACATTTTACCCTTAATTTGAAGTGGGGGGGGTAAACCAAATGATATTTTTTCATTTCCTCGAATTGTTCTTCATATGTTGTTTCATTTGAAGTTTAAATTCTAGTTTGGTTTTGTGACCATCTACCTTTAAGTTTATCCTCAAAAATTATTTTACTAGAAGAGTTTCTGGATAACCTGAATTCTAGTCCTTTAGGGATGTGCTTTATTATGTTCGCAGGGTAGTTAGATATAATATTCACGTATTTTAATTTTGTGATGGGTTCATGTATCACTGCCAGCTCGAAGATTCAATTCTACGTCCATATATATATATATATATATATATATATATATATAAAACCAGTTTGTTTAATGATCGCAAAAGCGTAAAACCGAGGGTCACATACAACTGAATATGTTAGCTCTATCATTGATATTGAGCACTTTCCAATAAGTACCGCGCATATAAAATTATGATGATGGAATCTCCCATCAAATTCGACGTCTGAGGTCCTGACGATCAGGAACTCATTATCTGCATGCCTATGACGGGCATGACTTTTGAGACCGGCTCGGGAATTGCACAAAAGACCACTTACAGTACAGGATTGTACCCAAGTATGTTAGATGTCTTATTTTGCTTTCCCGTTTCATGTAGTCGACTAATGGTTAGTGCAGCTATATCAATGTTGTACTTCTTTAGCTCCAATGCGATCAGAGCTGTTTTTATTTCTGGTGCTGAGTTGTTGTCTTGAAGAGTTTGCACATTCCAAGTGCCAAGATGAAGTTGATGTTGTTTCGTAGAGTTTTTTTTTTCGCAGTAGCCGGATATGTGTGGAACTAATGAGATGTAGTTGTCAGAAAACCAACACAATGATTTGTTTCAAGTGGTGATGGCTTGTTTCAGACCATCCACACTTTTTGGATCTGTCGATAAAAAAGTAACGGCGCAAAAGACTTTCCGCGGAAACTCCGAATGACAATTCTCATGTGTTATTATCGCGGAGTTTAACATCTCTGGATCACAGTCAATACCAGCCAGTACACGCCTCTCGGCAGACACATGCAATATAAGCTCTCATGAGTTTTCCTTCCCATCTGAAGTCTTTTTATTGTGAAACCAAGACTAAAAGGACTGCTAACCAAAGCTCAGAGAGACTCCTTTCACACTCAAGGGCAGCGAGCCGGCGCCAGTTCTAAACCTGATATTTTACATAACTCCGCGGGAATATATATATATATATATATATATATATATATATATATATATATATATATATATATATTACACTGGATGTCGGAGTAAACAGATAGTCATCAATGTGCCAATATATTGCTATACTTCTAAAATAATACTAATAACATATAAAATTATTATCAATTATGTGAGAATATTTATTATTATTATTATTGCTGTTATTGTTTTTAAATATTTGAAAAATAAAATATTTATCTATCTAAATATATATATATATATATATATATATATATATATATATATATATATATATATATATATATATATATATATAAACAGGTTGTTGTTGTTGACGCACCAGGATAAAATGGTTTTGCGGGAAGGGATCATATTTTCTTAATAAAACAGGATACAAAAGTATCACAGCGATTAAAATTTAAGGTATCTTTTGACGACACTTCTGAATATATATAATCATCGGCAAAATAAAATCAAGCAGTTGACAAGAAAAAATATTATCAACGACTGATGTTAAAAAAATAATATAAATTACCAAGACTATGGGAGGAAAAACATCTTCCTAGTTAGGCATAATATATATATATATATATATATATATATATATATATATATATATATAAATTCATGAATCATTCATACATGTGTTTTTGTATGAATGATTCATGAATTTATAAATTATAATTGCACCTTTAATTGAAATTAAAATAACTGATCCAACGTGCAACTTTCGGATAATAAGTGTGACATTACTGTAATTATTGAACAATATAGTTCATGCCACATAGACGGAAAATCTACCAGTAAAAAAGAATTCTCTTATTGATATATTTGTACAAAAACGCACAACCTTAAAATTTAAATTCAAACTCAGCGTTGCGACCGCACGTTCCAAAACAATAACACATTTCTCATAGCATTTTTTTCGGATTACATCTCTATTTTCGTTGTCCTCTTATTACCGAGGTGTAAAAACAAGAACAGAATCTATTTCCATACCTGAGGATGTCTGTAGGAACAGACGAAAGCTTGTAAAAATTAAAAGACCTTATACAACTGGAATTTATGAACAGGGATCATATCATTCATATACAGGTTCGGGGTTGGTGTATCTTATTTATGTGTTTGCGACGATATATTCTCGCCATTTAAATCATTAACCTCTATATTTGTTTTTTGTATGAATGATTCATGAATTTATAAATTATAATTGCACCTTTAATTGAAATTGAAATATATATATATATATATATATATGTGTGTGTGTGTGTGTGTGTGTGTGTGTGTGTGTGTGTGTAATTTTAATAGATTTTAGTTGTTTGAAGATAATAAAAATGACTATGTATAATGTAATGTCTGGCGTGGATTTTTGAGCAGAAAAATATGTAAAAAAATATTTTCTTTAGTTTTCCACCACCATTAAAAAGATGAAAAAAATATCAACATTACTCTCCAAAACCTCTATTTTTAGGTCTCCATTTGCAAAATGTCTTTCATGACAATTGGAAAGCGATGTCGTGAAGCTTACATTTACGCTTCGGGTCGCCAACATCCCTCCAACGAAAATGTACAATTGAGTCGTGCTTCTCTCTGCAGGTTTTGAGCGACCCTCAAGTTATGGGACGCCGTAACAGGGCCTGACGCCGAGACCTAAACAAATATTTATATTGCCTGAACTGAACATTTGAATTTTTGTTTGCAGACTGTCGGCGGGAAGTCGACCATCGAGCAAGTTCACGGTTGCGGGTCAAGACGAGAACATTGCAGAGATGTGAATCGTTTAGTCTTTGTCATCGCCGGCGGTAGGAGAACAACCTCAGCTATTTTGAGGGTAGGGATACAGGCTCATCTAGTTAACTGTGTATGCTTTGTGAGTATCTTCTAGTTCGAACCAAGAATAAATTCTTTTTATTGTCATTTGAAACAACTGACTCAGTTTTATTTATTTACTAAGATTAACTGACACAAGGCTGCTGTGGAGGAGCACCCAGTGCAGATTAAATTGAAAAAAATCTGCGAACTGGCCAATTTGTTGGCTATTACTCAGCGCGTTAATAAAATTAGGGCACGAAATTATATTTGCTTTTTACCATATAAAATTTTATTTTTTGTTTTTACTATATTAGAATAAATAGATTCGCTTATTGTCCGGTTCATGTTCCTCCTCGATCTTTTGAACAAGAGTAGAGGTTTATCCCTTGTTTCGTGTTTGGCATTGGATTCCTTCTAAAGTCTTCTTCAAAGCTATACTTCTAACGCCTCCGCTTAAACTCTGTAATTTTATTTACGACCGTAATTCCCCATGTATAATACGCCTTATTCCATAATACGCACCCTTAAAATTGTGCTGAAGATGTGGGAAAAAGCTTCTATTCACGCATAATTAAGATATTTATCAAAATTTCCGATCATCACGATTCTAAAAGGAAACGGAAATACCTATAATTTTTCTACTGCGCAGACTCATTAACTTGTTTTTGTTCGATAAAATTTTCACAAAAAATAGTTTTAAACATAGAATAATAGTATTCTAATTTAGTTTTATGATAATTCTTATTTTATTTTACATTTGTAAGTATTGTTAGGTACATATGATTGTATTTGACATCGTTATGGGGTCGCAATCGCCGAATGTTTGTGTCAAATTGTCGTATGTTTGTGGTGAGTAGTCATTTTGCAACTGAAATTGACCTATGAAACATCAATTTTTTGAAGATTTTTTTTGTAGCTGTGCATAATATGCACCCCTAATTTTGCTTATTATTTTTAGAAAAAACGCATTTTTATATATGGGGAATTACGGTATTAATTTTTCCTCTATAGGAGTAAATTGTGCTTCCGATTCCTTCTAAAATCTCTTTCATTCTATTTCACTCCTTGCATCTTAGTGGCTTTATCATCTTACTTGGAGGGAAATGATTAAAAACAAAATATCATGGTTCATTTATTTAATTTCCAAATATTTTGTTATTCAGGTGCTAAAAATAGTTTTAATTTTTCTGTTTATTTTTATTTATTTATTGTTGACGCACAATTCATTAAAGCTTCCTGGGTGTGTGGGTTGTGTATTGGTCATCAGCGCAAAATATGGCATCATGAAGCTGAGTTAATATATAAAGAATCACATTGATTTTAATCGGAGAACATACTATCTTGTTTTGGGATACGTTTCTACATTTCTTTCGCGTGTGGACAAAAAAAGATTTTTTTTTTAAAGCTGAAAACAACTTAGTGCTGAAATTGGAAGATCGTGTAAGGAGTTAATTTCAAAATGGCTTGTGTAGAATACTGCAAATTGGTATGCGATTTTTTTTCCGGACAAGTCTAGTGTATCTGACGGAAACCCACCTCGCAGGAATCGGTTAGCATTTCAGTGGATATTTTAAACGAATATGGTGAAAACGCTGAACGTTTTCTGAGGCATATTTTGAACTAGACATGAACGAAATTTACTAAATACATTTTTCATGTTTTCTGTCGTCTGTTATCACAATACTCATACAGTTCAATTTCTGTTCCTGCTCGATTCTGATGGGTTCAATTCGTAGCCCCGACACCCTGTGCTCTTCTTCTCGCTGACGATCAGACATTCTCTTCTTACAGTTAATGGTTAGTCCATTCTTCTCGTTTTCCTTTATTGCCACGCCTTTTAGTTCTTGTAGTCTTTCTTTTCAATTTGCTATCAACACAATGTTTTCTGCGTTATATCCACTGATAATAAATTTTGGTAGAGATCTTTTAGTTTTTGGAGGACTCTCTAACCGTATAGGTCACTAAATCCAGTGAGAAAATACAACTTTGTCATTCCTCTTCATTTTTTGTGTACCTGATCAACACGTTTTCTATCCAAATTCAGGAGTTTGTTCCCAGATTTTTCTGATATATTTTCCATACAAGTCAAGCTTTCCTAGGAGTTCAAATAGGTTTTTATGTCCTACTTTATCGTATAATTTTTGCAATCTATGAAACATAGTGACAGGATTTCTGCATTTGTATTTCTCGTTCTCATAATATTTGGATCATAAAGATAGCATTTCTTGTTCCAGTGTCTTGAACAAATCAACATTGTTCTTATCCTATTTCCAGATTAGTTCAGCTACGAGCTATATTCATTAGAATTAGAATTATAAACTTACTTCTGTGGCTCATTAAGCTGATTGTCCAATGGAGCTTGCATTCATTTTCAGCTTGCTTTTTAGCTATGCGCTATGAGGATGAATGTACTAAAGTCGTCCGGTATTTCGCCACTGTTATATATTTCATTTATTATTTCTTTAATCTTGTTAATTTTAAAATCGTCTAAAGCTGATAACATCTCTATTACAATCCCATCTGGTCCTGCTCTTTTGTTTCTCTTCATTTTGACCAGTGCCAATCTTACAGCTGATTTAAATGTCGCGTGCCCTTATATGATTTATGTATTGTAGGTTTCTCTCCCCAGTCGTCGTGGAAAAGTCTGTACTGTGTTTTATTTTTCTACTAGTATCCTTTTTAGATTCTATGCATCCTGTCAAGGAACATGTATTCTGATCTCTTCTTTCCTTTATTTTTTTATGTATGCCTCCAATGCTTATATTATGAAGTGTTTCTATTTCTCGTTGAGTCGTTTATTTTTTGTTTGCTTACATTTCTTTTTAAAGTTTCCACTTAACATACAATATATTGTGCCATTACTTGGTATTGTTTATTGTTTTATTCAGCTCGAGAATTATGCATGCACAATTCACCATGTTCATGGGTGAATGGTGCTCATTTTGGAAGATAGTGTCTCTATAGATCTAGACATAAAGGATACAAGCATCAACAATGCATGGCGACTGTCAATTTCATGTCTCTTTAGAGGAAACACTAGGGATTAAGTGGACACAGCCTAGTTATTTGGGGGGGGTGGCATTTATACTTCCTTTTTTTTTCTTCTGACTTTGCAAATTTCATACGATTTTCTGTTAGTTTTGTATATGAAGTAATTACGATAACAGATTTTTTTTTTAATTTTAAATGGTTGCTTTAATCCACTATTATTTCTCACCCCTATAAATGTAATATTCCGTGGGTGCACAAATTTAAGCAGATATCCCTGATATTTTTAACAGAGAAATTCATATCTTATCTGTCCTATGATAATGGAAATTCACACTTGGCCTGGAATTTGTGTTTCGGATTAAAAAGGAAATACAAGTTCGATTTCTGTTCACATACATTTTTTCTTCAATAAGACTTTCGATCTCTAGGCCTTATACATCTGTTTGTACACACAACACACACACACACACACATATATATATATATATATATGACATTTTTAGGTTTATACTTTCTTATTATAGATACAAATATTTAAGTAAACGCTCTGTTTATAATAAACAGTATTAACAACATTTACCGGCCTGAATGTCCGAGAAATTTCATAGAAAATCCCGACAGGAATCGAACGTGTATCCTATACGGAACCGTCTTATAGCCTGACGTGCCTTAACCGAATAGGCCACAGAGGAGTGTACGGTTAGCAAGGTCGATTTTACTGTTTTTAAACACAATTCTCCATGATTTTCTTTCATTCATTCATATCTTCTCAATGCGTATCCAAATGGAAACAAATGACGTCATACATTATGAAATGGACAAAATCCGACAATTATTTTCTTAAGACATCTTTTTTATATATATTATCTCTCACCGGTGACGGATAACATGCATATAGTGCAACCTCGGTTCTCGAACGTCTCACATGTAGAACAAATCGGTTTTCGAACAGAAAATTCGAGATAAATATACCTCGGTTATCGAACAAAATTTCAGTTGTCGAAGAACATTGTCGAACCGAGTTAACCCGAACGGAATAATTTCTGAGTCAACTGCTGTGTTGTATACATTCATGTGTTGTGGTGTGCTTTTCTTTTCCAAATTTATTGTATTGTGACTTTTTTTTTCTCTACATTGATTCCTTGGAATTCGGTTTACGAATATTTCGGGTTACGAACGGCCTTCAGGGACGAATTAAATTCATGAACCGAAGTTCCACTGTATTTATTAATATATAATAGCTCACGGACACATGGACACATGGCACATTGGATAAAGGCGTTGGTTAGATCCAGTGACAGACCCAAAGAAGGTGAGTTCAATTCCTGGTTAAGACAGTGGAGAACTTTCAGAGGGAAAATTAACAGGAGATAACTGATAACGGATATCCATCAAACATGGCACGTGGAACTAGAACAGTCTACCCCAGTGATCGAAATAAAGGGTTCAGTTCAGAAATTCCAACCACCTGAAGAAGGCGTACAACGGCCGAAACGTTGTGACAAATATGGCGACAAAGATGAGGACAATAGTCCGACTAATGTAAATACTGTACATAATATCTCATCTGGAAATGACATTGTCTAGTGTGTACAATTTGTATCCATTTACGTCCGCTCCTGTTTAACGTCTACGCTTCCATTGATTTCAATCTAGAGGTCATGACCCATTTATGAAAAATAATTCCTTCATTTTTGCTTCTTCTCTTAGTTTAAATTTAACGTAGATCATAATCGATTGGTTGATCTGAGTAATGCCCGCAAACCTTTTAATACCCTTTCTTCGTAAAAAGAGATTATATTTTGCTTTTAAATCTAAATAAATCGCTCACTCGACAGTAATTTACAATCGCCTGATGAGATGCATTGATTCGCATCGAAACACGACTACAATTTAGTAGAGATTTTGACATGTTTTCGATGTAATATCTTAGTATATCAGTCAGTTATGTGCCATGCGTGATAAAACGCTTAGGCGATTTTTCCCGCAGTAGATTGCCATTTCTTCCGCGGTAGACCAGTTGCTACCCAAAGCTATAGAACACTGTCTGTCCTGCTATTTACCCATAGCTGGGGGGAGACGTAGAGGATTCATACCTTTCCCAAGGGTATTAGCACATAAGTGAATGTAATGGATTCGAGTGGAATTCGAACTCGGCTCTCCAATTCCTCAATCCGTTATTCCTCCTTAATATATATAGTAAAAAATATTGTCTGCATAAGGTTCGACAGAGAAAATATGAATAATAATATTGATAATAAAACTAATAATATTTATAGTAAATTAGTCGACCTTTTTAACCAAATAGAAACATGAAGAGAAATTTTATTGTTTCCCGTTGAGAAAGAATAAAATTTCGTGTCTGAAATGACCGATTTTCAAACTTTTGGTTATCATCCTGCCATTTAATCAAACGGCCTACTAATATACAATAAATAGTATTAGTCTTATCAGTAGTATTATTATTTTGGTTGTTTTTGTATCTCGAATTTTTCGAATCGGCCTATTATAACCAAACACACGTACATGCGCACAGACACAGACACACACATATATATACATATATATGTGTGTGTGTGCGTCTGTGTGTGTGTGTTTTTGTGTATGTGTGTGTGATCAAAATATTGTTTTAATGTATATATTCATGAATTAAAGTAGTCAATATCAGGAATAGAGTATGTAAGTATAAAAAGTGAACATTGAGGTCAACATCATCCAGCCACTGTCTATTTCATGCTTAAACGCAGTCGTGATTATTTATTTATATATATATATATATATATATATATATATATATATATATATATATATATATATATATATATTTAAAGTTTACTTATCTTCTGCCTCAGAGTTTCGGAGATACATATTCGCACGTCAGTAGTAAAAAAAAACACACACACACACACACATATATATATATATATATATATATAAGTGTGGCTGTTTTCTCACTACTGACATATATATATATATATATAATATATATATATATATATATTATCTGTGTGTCTATCTATTTATCTATAATTATATTGCTCATTATTATTTGCACTATTCTCTGTCAATACGCGTCATGTGTGCCTGAGCAGGTCTGACTTCTAAACCGTTTGGCAAAATTCCAGTCCAACAATCACTCGCGTTAATTGCTTCTAAATTGCCAGCCATTAACAAGTAATAATAAAACGTCCTTATTATTATTATTATTATTATTATTATTATTATTATTATTATTCTACCCGCCAACACTCAGCACGTCGAATGCCAAGCGATAAAAAGAACAAATAAACGGAGGCAGATGGAGAAAAATGTCGTGGGTGGGTGATCCTCGTTATCAAGATTTGACGTCTTCATTTATTGCCTCGTTTCTTTATGGAGTTGGTCGGGGAAAATGGGGTAACGGGAGCCCCAAGCGTCAAATAAACAAAAGAAAATTTTCGGGATTGCAGAGTTACTAATTACAGGCTTATTCTCTAAAAAGAATTTAATTAATATTTACTAGCGGCATCCTTCAGAAGTTTTGCCGTTTTTGTTTTTGTTTTTTTCAGAATGAAGTCTTATACAACAGTGACTTGAAGCGCGCTTGCAAATTCAACTTTTCACTACTAATAAAAACTTTAAACACTTTATCAAGCTAATTGCATCAGGTCATTTATATAAAATAGGTAGCATAAGTGCAAAAACCGAGTTTTAATGCCTCAGCATTTTTCATACATTTATTTCCTTTCATCATGATTTTTGCTCATTTTTATTGCTTAACTAATCATTTTGGTCTGGCATATTTCATATTGTGATACCATTTTTGAAGCAGACTGTACACGGCCGAGAGCGTTATCCCTTCTTCTATCTTCCCATTTTTCCTTCTTTTTTCATTCCTTCTTTTTTCTTTCTTTCTATTCCTTTCTCTCATTCTTTTTTCTTTCTTTCTATTCCTTTCTTTCTTTCTTTCTTTTTCTTTCTTTCTATTCCTTTCTTTCTTTTTTCTTCCTTTCTATTCCTTTCTTTCTTTCTTTTTCTTTCTTTCTATTCCTTTCTTTCTTTCCTTCAATTCCTTTCTTTCATTCTTTCTTTTTCTTTCTTTCTTTTTTCTTTCTTTCTTTCTATTCCTTTCTTTCTTTCTTTTTTCTTTCTTTCTATTCCTTTCTTTCTTTCTATTCTTTTCTTTCTTTTTTCTTTCTTTCTATTCCTTTCTGTCTTTCTTTCTATTCCTTTCTTTCTTTTTTCTTTCTTTCTATTCCTTTTTTTCTTTCTTTTTCTTTCTTTCTATTCCTTTCTTTCTTTTTTTTCTTTCTTTCTACAAATACATAACCATGGTCACATCGACGTGGTGTAATGGCTAGCGAGCCTATCTCGCTAGATCAATTGCTACTGAGTACTCCACACTTTCGGCCTTGTACCACATGTAAGCTACGCTTAGAAAATCATCATCAAGAATTTTTTGGCAAAGGACAGGCAAACTAAATTTGTGGGCAGGGGATTTTCAGACTAGGAGCAAATCGAATAGGAGGGGGGTTGAAGATTTTATAAATGTAATAAATTAAATACTTTCAAGAAAACTGTGTTATGACAACTTGCTGCTCTTAGAATTAACTTTTGAAAACTTGTCATTTCGCAGCAAAGAACAAAAACGTGCACTTGTCTCAGCCACTAAGCAGATCGTCTGCCTCTATGAATTCAATTACGTATACTGAAGTGCGTACAGTGTTTTTTGATGGGGTGAGGGTCAAAACAAGTAATGCAATTTCTTGTCTGGAAGGAGCATTTGATAAAACATTTTAACGAAAACGTTAAGATATGAAACCGGCCCAAATATTTATCCGCTTATTCGGTCGTTCAAAGAATCGTCACTTTCCCACCATGTTGCAGTTTCGGATATTCAAGAGCAAAACGGCTAGCTGTTCAAGTATGGCTCCCCAGAAGAACACATGATGCATAACACCCTCTCCTCATCAACTTTGGCTACAGAATCATCAAATAGATTGGCACGACATAACAATCTGGAAAGTTTGATTTGGTTAGGTTGATTTTGTTTAGCAGCATATCAACATCTCTATGGGTTATTTAATACCGAAATCTAAATGTTTTGAACACAATCTTTCGGCTTCACCCACAGATAAAATTGATTGTTGGTCATTTTGGTATAAATTGTATCATTGGTAATTCTATTATAAAATGCAATGTAAGTCATTTTGCTTTAAAAATATATTGTTGGTGATTTTATTACAAATATGTCCGGTTGGTAAATTTTTATAAAAAATTTATTGCTGACATCTTCACCATAAAAAATCTATTTTTATACTTTCATAAGGTTTTTTTTTTTGTTTGTTTGTTTTTGGTTTTTTTGGGTTTTTTTTGTTTTGGGTTAATTATTTGCCCATAGCTGGAAAACTAACAGATACTACCAACCCGGATCAGGGCGGACCTGGGATCAACAGCAATTAAGAGATGGTTCCACGCTCCTCAAAATTTCCAATGTCCATTTCAGAGGCCTTGCTGCCGGATGTAGTTTATCGTCATACCCAGAACTAGAAAGGAAAAAAAAAACCAATGAAACAAAGAGGAAAATAAGAGTGGCTTCTCCTGAGACTGACGTTGAATAACGCGGACATTAAAACATTTATAAACATTTTCCTCATTTAAATATGTATATTTCCCCGTCTCTCTCTTATTTCGGTTATTATTATCCTCATCAACATTCTTACTAACATCATTATTATTATTATCATCATTATTATCTGATGTTAAGCGATTGGTGACTACCTAAATCTGTAACCGTTAGTTACTGTAATTTTGGATGTTCGTGTAGTGTAATGGTTAACGATTCAGAATTGGAAATCGAAGAGTCAACTTTCAATTCCAGTTGAGGAAAGGTTTGAATCCACCTCTTCTCTCCCCAGCTATGGGTTAATTAGCAGGATTTATATCAGTGAATCATTATTATCTTTAAAAAGTTCTTAAAACCTAAAAATATTTCCTGGCTTTAAATAACCTGAAAATTGTTAATAAACCGTCAAAAAAATTCTTATTATCGCCATCATTATTATTATCAATGACATACGTATACATACTCAGCAAATGACTCCAAAATGCATACAGATGCACCTGAAACTTAATAATGCTCTCAGTGTTAAGAGATACATTTTATATACGCACACATGCCGTATTTGATCATTTGACTTTAACAAAAAAATAGTCTACCTATGGAAATTGCACTTTACCCAACTTGAGAACTGACACATTTATCTCAGCACCGCTCCCCCAGGATAAATAAAAAATAAAACGTTTTTTAATGAAATATACATAAAAAAAAATTTGGTACCCAATATATATATATAGTAACAAATTTTATATATATATATATATATATATATATATATATATATATATATATATATATATATATATATATATATATATATATATATATATATATATATATATATATATGGGACAGGACACCTCAGGCCGGTGTGATGGTTAGTTTGTCTCGCTAGAACAATTACGACTGAGTAGTGATTTCGGTCCTCACTGAGTATCCCATACTTTCGGCCCTGTGGCACATCTAAGCTACGCTTGGAAAATCACTATATATATATATATATATATATATATATATATATATATATATAGTGGATGACCTTATATTGGCCCTAAAAAATTAATTTCAGGTTGAGCTCTCTGGGGAGGAGGTGTGGATTTGTAAACAGTGACTATTATAGCTAATCTAGCGACTCTTCACAAAAGCGAATTGAGTCACTGTCGGTAAATACACTAAAATTCACCTTTATCCCTGCCGTCTAGTATGAAACAGCCTGTCGCCTCTAAGTGTTGACTTCAATGTTCACTTTATATATATATATATATATATATATATATATATATATATATATATATATATATATATATATATGTGTTTGGGTAAGTATTCTATTAATCTAGTCCAGGATTTGTTTTCATTTTTAATAGTTTCTTAACTGTTTTGTTGAACGTTTGTATGTCTATATTTACTGTTTGTTTGCTATCATCATAATCCCATACGACAAAATAGACGGAAGAGTCATAATGAACACCAGCGTCGAGAGTGAAAAAGAACGACAACACTTGCATAAAAAACAATGTACAAACAATAAATATAGACACAGAAATGTTCAACAAAACAATTAAGAATATGTGTGTGTGTGTTTCAATATTTCTGTTCTTTTATACGGATATCTGTAAAAAAAATTAGAGAACCGACAAAGAAATTCATTCTCCCAACGTTCTAGTGTTTAACCATTTTGCAACTACTTTATATATTTATATGCTTGACGCTCTGTCAAGTTTGACTTTCGTCCTGTTTTTATTAACAATCGAAACAGGAGGGCGGGAGTCTTGTCCTTTCACAACGTGGGCGATCATGGTTCTCCACAACTTCCAATCCTTTGTCCCCTTTAACAACGTTTGTCTCTTCACTTTGCCAAAGGTCAGGGGGTTTTCGTCTCACCTTGTCTTGCAAACGCTCCAGGACTTCCAAGTAAAAAGCCTGGTTAACAGTTTGACCAAGAGGAACAGATTCCTTGTAGAGAATTCCTTTCACATCAAAGAAACAAATCAACGTCGTCTTGACATTGGACTTCACTTGACGGGCTTTTTGGGGTCGTGGTGAACGGATATATATGTTTTAGCAAACGCCTTACTTCTTTTCGCACACGTTTGCACTGCTAACCAGCTTACACATTCGAGAGATACAATAAAGAAAATGTGCTTTCCGACAGAGCTCGAACCTGCGTACTACTTAGTAGAGAAAACAACGGTGGGAGCCGGTGTGCTTTTTAGATCACTCGGCCATAGGCAGCATGACAGCGGAGAGGGACGTTCAATTACCCTGTTAAAATATACATCCGCTTGTTCATATATATATATATATATATATATATATATATATATATATATATATATATATATATATATATCCGAAGTCCATATTTGCAAACTTTTTCTTTTATTTTCGTACCAAAAATCTAAACAAAGTAATTTCTACTGAATTAATGCATTTTATCTTTAATCCGACATGTCTTATCACTTTAAACGTCATTTTCAGTAGGCGTCTACTTAAACATATTTATCCACTAAAAATATCGTTTACAGTAATAATGTCCGATTATTTAAATATTGCTGACACATCTGGTCTGGTGCTTCTGTTATATATTTAAAGATTCTTGATAAAATCCACCCCCCCCCCAAAAAAAAAATCTACAAGGTGTTCCTAATGTCTGAACACGCAAAAATACATATTTTCAAGAAACGAAGTTTTCAACATTTTATCGATTTGGAATGTTAACAAATAACATCTTCAATATGATTTCCATCATTTGTGTTGATGTGATTTGAAAGATTCACATGCACTCGATGCATTAACTCCACATTGCAGTCAATGTTAGCACATTCACACTCTATGCATTCAATGAAATGTGTTGCATCTGTGATTTTCATTGACTACAATTTCTCTTTTAGCATACCATAGAAAAAGAAGTCAGTTCTTTCTCCTTTCGGCAAAACCATGTTTAATCTGTGGGGGTAAAAAAAAAGAATAGTTAATGTGATTTCCTATGTGTCCAGACTTTAGGGAAACCCTATACAATATTGTCAGTCCTAACCTGGCATCTCGACTTCATTTATTTTCCCCCTTTTCCATATTGTAGCTTCTCTCTGCCTTTTCTATACTTTCATGGCAATTATTCTCATGAACTTTACTCTATGGTACCTGGACTTTATGAATTTAAGCAAAGTACAGTACTAGACTAGCTGGCAGATCTCATCATTTTACAGTTAAAATATCTCGATGTAACCAAAAGCTATAGACTAACAGTTTCTTCTCTCGCACTTCTCGCTTGTGGAACTCTCTTTCGGCTTCAACTTTGATCTTCAAAAATTTAAATGCAATTCCAATCGTTATCTTCTGTCTTCCTAAATTATATTCTTTTATTGTTTTCTGTCCTGAATGGTGTTTTTTTTTTATCATATTCTCTAACACTCAATTATTCCTTGCATCTTAGAGGCCTTATTACCGTGCTTGGGGTGAAATGATTAAAAAAATAAAGATAAAATTTATTAATTCCTTAGAAATTAGTTTCGGAAGAATATACTTACTGAAATATAAAATATGAACTTGAATTGAATGCCATACGTAAAGGTTCGAGTTTTAATAATGCCAGATGAGATTCGGTAAAATGCTGTGTCATTTAATTTACAAATCAGTCCATCAAAATGTTGTTAGAGTTAAAAAACGAATGAAAGCAGATAAACATTAAAGTAGATTGAATTCTTTACCCAATGGAGATTTCTGTTATATCTTAGCTGACGAGAATAACGTTTTTTTTTCCTTCTAGGATTAGTTTCTCGCAATTTTGTTTAAAAATTGATAATTAAGCTGTTCTAACAAAAAATAGATATTTTCTTTTCATTATCTATTTATTTATTCTTTTTATTTAAAATGAAAAGAATTAATTAATATTTTGGAACAAGTAGAATCAAAACCTTGTTTATGCCAGACCATGAAAAAAGAACTGTCGGATCAAAGCGGATAGACTTACAATGGCGATTGTTTCATCAAATCAAAATTTTTTAAACATCACTTTTCTTTTTTAACTCTCATCGATAAAAGCAAAATATTCAACGAGAATTTCATGAACTTTGCTGTTTTTTGGGTTTTTTTTTTTTTTTTAATCCGAAAAGGCGAACTTAAGTTACATTGAATGGCCCAGTTTCTAAAGCAGGAAAACTCTTCAATCGCGTGGAGCTGTTGGTTATCCCACGGGATCCAAAACTAGAAATGTCAGAGGCCGGTCCCGAGAGGAACAATAGAATTGAGGCTGAGTTTCAATTTCAAGACATGCTTTCGCTTCACATCTGTACCCGTAACACACAGAGATTCTCCGGCGGGAATTTCAGAAAAGAAACATGAATATCTGGCAAAGAAAGAAAGAAAGAAAGAAAGAAAGAAAGAAAGAAAGAGTTTTGAGGGAAGAAAGTTATTTCAAGGATCGAAAATTAATCCTGAGACAAAATATAACTGTTTGAAAGAACAAAAAGAAAATGGTAAAATGTAAAAGGAGAGAATGGAAAGGGAAAAAACATGAGAAAAGTAGAAGATAAGAGGGAGAAGAGGCTGAAAGGAAAAGACATTAAAAAGAGAAAGAGAATGAAAAAATAACTTAAAAGAAGAAAGAGGAATAATAAAAAAAAATAGTGATAAGGAGAAGGGAAGCGGGGAGAAGATAATGAAATCGTAAAATAAAAAGAAGAGAAGGAGGGTGATAGTTTTTCTTCAGAATGAAGATAAACATGGCACTCAACAGATCTTTTTTTTTTCTTTTCTATGAACCTCCATGAGTGCTTTCCCGTTACTTTCTTCATGGTTTCAGAGTTGCCTTTCTCTTACACTGGCTTCCAACCAGGGCTAGAAAAACCATACTACTTTGATATTTATCCCATAACTTTAAATTTAAAGAAATGGATTCATGCCTTTTCCAAGAGTATTAGTGCAAAAATGAACGCAACAGACTCGATTACAATTTAAACTCGAAGAACACATGGCTCAGTGGATAACACTTTTTTACGCCGGTAACCGTTAGATTACCTGCACATCACAGAGTCGAAATACAAAATAAATAAATAAAACGGAAAAAAATTTGCAATAATATCCATCTGTTTATATTTCTGAGACGAGGTATTGTAACTATTTACACTATTTACATCGTTCAAACTGTTGTCCTCATCTTTATTGCAATATTCACAACGTTTCGGCATTGTAATTTCGCCTTCTTCAGTATTTTCTCTATTTTGAGATGAGATGTTGGAATTTTTTAATCGAACCCGTTAAACTTTGTCCATCTTTATTGGGATATTCAGGGGTTTCGGGGCATTGGGGGGAGGGGGGTTTCTTTCAGGGGAGATGGGGAATTTTGAATCGAACCGTTAGGAGGAGGGGAAGGGGGAGGGGGGAGGAGGGGAGGGGGAGGGAGGGGGAGGGAGGGGGAGGAGGGGAGGGAGGAGGGAGGAGGTGAGGGGAGGGGAGGAGGAGGAGGAGGAGGAGGGAGATAGATTGTTCTTATTCCACGTGTGTTCTTCGAGCACGTGGAATAAGAACAGTGGATAACAGCGTTGGTTGAAGTAATCCGAAAAGTTACTTGACCCAAACAGTTGTGAGTTCAATACCTGACCGCAGCAGAGGGAGCAAAAACATGGAGAGTTGAGTTACTAAAGGAAGTTAAATGAAACTGAGATATCTCCCAAAAAGACATGAGACGTGGAAGTAAAACTTGTTCTAAATTTCCAACATTGTGTTTCCCAAACTCAATAATTTTACAATATCTTTTGTTCACCTCTAAGTTTGTCTTTCATACAACCCACGACACTATTTATATATCGGAAACTAAAAATAAATATCAATAAATGTACAATTGTATTTGTTTATTTTCAGTATGATGAACAACCCGACCATTAATCAAATTGCATCCCACCAAAATATTTCTAATAGAATCAGATATTAAAATCTGACATTCGTACCGCGCGTTTATCATATCAGTATAAGTACCTCTTGAATTTTTTAACATATTTGACTTGTATGATTAAATCATATATAGTGTAAGCTTATATAATTCTTGCATACGATCAAATGGTAGATAAAGTAGGGGGATTATGTTGCGCCAATGTTAGCGTTCCTTTTCTTTAAATATTTTTATGGTAATTGTTCTGATGAACTTCCTTTTTTGGTACCTCGATGTTACGAATTTAAGCGCAGTACTAGGTTGGCCGTTAGGTTTCATCATTTTACAGTTGAAATGACTGTAACGTTAAATTCTATGCTATAAGATTCTTCACTCGCATTCTGAGACTCGTTTCTGGTCTCATGTTTCCAAGTCCACTTTGCTCTTTGAAATTTTAAATGTAATATCAATCGTTATCTTCTGTCTTCTTATATATTTTTTATTGTCCTGTTTACTTAATGATATTTTTCTCATATTATCTCACAATCAGTCAACCCCCTCACCCCCCATCCCTTACGTCTCAGCGGCTCTATTGCTTTGCTTGAAGTGAAATGATTTTTTTTTTAAAAATGTTTCAAATAGAGAAATTTTGGCTGAAACGACATCTGAAATCCTGACTTTGTATCAGGACTCGGACACTATATTTCGTAACAAGTGGACAATACGCAAACATCTCACCAAAAGAATTGTTTTCTTTATTAAATATATAAAGGTTTTATAGAAGGTTTAATAGAAAAAAGGCTGTCTAGAAATATTCTATTGTGACATCTTTTTGTTTTGTTTTGTTTTTGCCTTGAAATCAACATTTAAAACTTCATTTTACATTACTTATCGAATTAGCCTCGATTCTTGATCAGTTGATTCTGTGAGAAATACGCAACTGCCTCAGCCACTAAACAAGTCATGAATTGCTTTCTTTTCTACTGTTCTTGGCTATCGACCAAACTTTTCATTAATTTTTCTTCCACTTCTATTTCATTTCTTTGATATTTATTCTTTTGCATTTTACGAATTTCTCATCTTTTTTTTTCTTCCCTAGCAAAACTGAAATTTTCTCTTTTTGGGGGTCTGATCTTTTCAAAAAATTTTATCTCTTTGCTTTCTTTCTCTTTTCTCTTCTTTTTCCTTGCTTTTTCTTTCAGTCCTTCATTTCTTCATCCATTTTATTTTTCCTCTCTTTTTTTTCATTCATTCTCTCTTCTTCCCTTTGTCTTCTTTCTTCACATTTTCTCCCATATCTCCTTTGTTTCTTTCTTTATCGTTGTTTATAAATATATTCCACGATTTAATCTCAAGAGACTTTCACTTGTAACGCCTTTGTTCTTTCCATCTTTTTATTTCTTTTACACTCGCCACATACTCTCTCTCACTCCCACTCTTTCTCTTTCTCACTCTCTCACTCTCACTCTTTCTCTCTCTCTCTCTCTCTCTCTCTCAATCTCTCACACTTGAGAACCAACTCGCGTCTTTTCATAATATACACATTATTTCAACAGACGCTGTCAGATTCAATTTCCAAAACAATCTACTGTCTAATAACCTTAATATATCGCTAGCCTTTATTGGCAAACTCAATTGGCAATTAAATTCAGATTTTGCCATGACATAGATGACTTCGTGGCAATCAGCGTTCAAACGCCACCCACGCGCAGGAAAATGACAAAGAAAAATTGTGAAATTAAGATTTTTGTGAAAATTTCTAAAAAATTCATTTTATTCATAAAAGTGAATTAATTCAATTAAAGATGAATTTAATCATTATACAAAATAACATCAGTAAATTTAATTCCAAAAACAAATAATTGCGAATATACCTACATTTTTTGGTTCGATCATTTTCATGTTGGATGATATAGATATATACAGGAAGTTTCGGCTCAGTACAGTACAGTCATCATCAGGTGTTCATAGATTGGCTGATATGAAATACCTGTTGATAATTGTAATATTTTGTCCCTCTGTTGTCAACTATTGAAGCGTTCCTGATGAGTTCAACCAGTCCTTCATTACCCTTTTTTTAATAATTTCACCCCAAGTAAGGCAATACAGCCACTAAGACACAACAGGTTAGTGCGTATAAAAGAATAAGAAAAAGAAAATATTATTAAGGAGCGAGAACAATGAAAGAAGAGGAATCAAGAAGACAGTAGATAACCATTGACATTGCATTTAAATTTTTGAAGATCAAAGTTGTCTGAAAAGCAAGAAGACAGAAGAGAGTTCCACAGGCTAGAAGTGCGAGAAAAGAAAATGTTACATCTCGCCTATTCAACTGTAAAATGATGCTCACCAGAACAATTACCATGAATGTATTTATAGAAAATGTACAGGGAAGCTACTATACAAAGGTGGAAAAGGAACTGAAGCTGAGACGACAGGTCAAGACCAATAACTTTGCAGATTCTTTGGATTTTATCAAAAATCTCTAAATATGCAACAGAAGCAACAGACCATATCGAGCGGACAATTAAACAAATGGTAGAGTTATAGATATCGTCCTGGGTAAGACGATAAACTACGTCCAACAGCAAGGCCTTTGATCAGAAGGTTTTGAGGAGCGTGGAACCACCTCTTTATTGCTGGTGTTCCCAGGTCCACCCTGACCCAGGGTGGTAGCACCAGTTAGGGCCCCAGCTATGGGCAAATAGTCAAACCCGAAAGTGAGGTAAGAAGCATTATAAAAGTGTAAAAATAGGTTTTAATACCTGAAATATTTGTAAAAGAATTATTACAGAAATAAACTTTTGAAGAAAAGAAAAACTATTACCAGCAATATTTTGAAAAAAAAAACTATTACCAGCAATATATTTTTGAAAAAAATATTACCAGCAATATATTTTTGGAAAAAAAAAATATTAACAACTATACGTTTTTAGAAAAAAATATTACAAGCATGTTTTAAAATAATATTACCAGCTATACATTTTTGAGGAAAAAATATTACCAGAAATAGATTTTTAACAAAACAAAATATTACCAGGAAAAAAAGTTGTCGGCATTAAATAACCAATTGAGATTGATATGCCGTAAAAGACAACGAACCAAATCAAATATATATGTATACATACACACCTTTTTTTTTTACCAAACTATCGCTATGAATCTATTTCAAAATTTTATTGGCATTAAATGACCCACTGAGGTTGATATGCCATAAAACAACAAACCAAACCTTATAGATATATATAAGATAGATTCTGGAGATAAAAATTGCCTTGAATGACACAGTGAATCAATTATCCTAGCAACAGATCAAGCAATTGATTCAATATAATCTTTCCACTTCATGTCAAAGAAGGTAAACCCGAAAAGGCCCAACGTGTCACTCTCCTCTACTTAATTGAGAGGTTGAACTCCCAAACCACGTAACAAATACATAATCAAGACCAATATCCACTACGCTCGAAGAATATTAGTGATGTGTCTTTTTAATACTAATCTCTGAAGTGAAATACTAAATTATCTTTCTTTTTCCTTATATATATATATATATATATATATATATATATATATATAGCCTTGGATGGCAACTGGTCTACCGCAGAAAGAAATGGCAACCTACTGCAGGCAGAAATCTGTCTCGTCAGTCATGTATGGAAAGATACATGATCGCCTAAGCGTGTAACAAGCATGGAACGTAACTGACTTATATATATATATATATATATATATATATATATATATATATATATGAATAAAAAGCGAAAGAAGAAAAAATATTCTTAGCCGACGGGTTTCGTACTCCGAGGGACTTTATCAAGGAAAATGTAGGATCTATTTTGTTACACATGTTTACATACAAAAACAAGGATGTCATTGGCTTTTAAATTTGAGGACGTTCATGAATATTCATCAGGTGGTTGAAAGGTCAGTCGAAATATTTGGAATACACAGAGTGCTATAATTCAAAGTTTGGTGAGGCAAAAGTAAGCTAGTAATATTCAAGAAATATATTTGTGTGTTTGTGTGTGTGTGTGTGTGTGTGTGTGTGTGTGTGTGTGTGTGTTAGATAAATGAATATTCGTTAAATTGTGATCAGATTGTTATGGTATGGGATAGATGTATGTGCTGTACATCTAACCCATTTAAACACACAGACAAATTTACCAGACTCCATTAGGAACATACTAGTAGAAAACACAAATATATTAACTGCATCCACCTGCAAAAAAAGACTAAAAATAATAGAAGCCTTAATAATAAAAAAGAAAAAAACAACTCTTAACAATATTAACTACGAACAAAGCCACAATGTGCTAACCGTATTCAGAAATTAAAAATATCCCTATCACACACTAAGACATACACAGAACGCACACACTCAATTAAGCTGAAAATCGAATCATCCTTGATAATGGCTAAAGGTGTAGCCGAAAGCGCTCGGAAATATAAAACATTTGGACAGTTCTAACACACCCTTTGTCCAGAAAAGAGAGCTCTTGTCAAAACATAAGAAAAATTGAATAAAAAGCTTAAACGTAGTACCTTGTCTGTCGTTTTTAATGAAACATGCATATATATATATATATATATATATATATATATATGTGTGTGTGTGTGTGTGTGTGTGTGTGTTTCTGGAACTTATGTTGCTAACTCTCAACATATACATCTGCTTCCTCTTCTTTTTTTGTGCTGTCTCCCTTCAGGGCATTGGCTCTCCACAATTTCCTTTGTAGCTCTTGATAAATTTTGTCTTTTTGCTATTTTTCCGTCATCCATGTACTTCAGCCCTAAGTTGTTTCCTCTTTCCCTCTTGCCTTCAATCCTTCCTGTGAGTATCAGATTTTCAAAACCCCCTTTCCTCATTATGTGCTTTTGAAATGTCAACTCTCTCTTTCTGATGTTAATTATAAGTTTCTTTTTCTTTTCCATTTTCTCTAAAACTTTGTTGTTGCTCATATATTCAGTCCATGGTATCCTCAGCATCCTTTTGTCGAACAACTTTTCTCTTACTTCAAGACTTATCATCTTCTCCAGCATTCACTGCCATATAGGGGGGGGTCTGATTCTCTTTTCTTTGTAGTAACGGAATTTTCCTTTTTCTTAATATTTTGCTTAGATTTTGGAAAGCATCTTTGGCCGTCACAATGAGCCTTCAGATTTCAGTGTCGCACTTTTCCGTCCTTTGTTAAACCAAATATTTAAATAGTTGTAATTGTTTGATTTTGGCATGCCCATTTTGTAATTTGCATTCTGAGCTGTCCATTTTGCTAACAACCATTCATTCTGTATTCTTAAAATTGACATTTAGTCCTTTCTTCTCGCTTTCATTCATTACTATCTTTATTAGATTTTGTAGCTTTCTTTTCGTGTTTTCTATCAACACTACATCATCTGCATACCTTACGTTGTTAATATTGTGACCACAAATTGCCTCGCTGTATAGGTTGAATAAATCAGGTGAGAACACATATCCTTGTCTTACACCCCCTTTCTATATATATATATATATATATATATATATATATATATATATATATATATATATATATGCTGAACTCATTTTCGGTGGACAGATAGCTGCGTATTGTAAATTTACTTCAAAGACAATTGCGCAGACAATTGAGTCCCTGCATAATTGCGTACCTATGATAATTTTTTGAAGTTACTATTTTTTAAGGAGTTGTTTAATATAGAAATCTGCACACTATACTTTTAATTACTCTAAAGAAGCAGAAATGTAGTTACCATAAATAAAAAAGAGAGAAAAATTTCCGTTTTAAAGGAAGAGAAAATTAAGCTAGCAGTTTCAGTTCACTCCAGCAGTGCGTACCACAAACATTATGATTTTGGGTTGTATAGATTATATTTTTATTTGGAACCTATGGCGAAGTTCAGAAAGACAAACACTAGTGGAAAAATATTTGTGGACAAAATTACAGCTACCATTATAACAAAAATGCCGATGAAACAAAAATATACTGGCAATATGTAAAGCAATCTTGCAATAATGTTAATCTGTCATTGCATTTTAAACAAAAATAAACTCGTAATATTTGTTATTTTATTACTTATATTCAATTTTTTTTAAAATGCACGATTACTAGCTATACGTCTTTTAAAATTTCTGGTAAATTCTTTTAAAAGCTTTAAAAATTATCAGATGTACGTAATTTTTCAGGGACACATTTGTCTAGGGACGCTAAGGTCCAGGTACGCAAATTGTCCGGGACGCAACTGTCCTAGAACCCACGTTTTCTATCCGTATGCAGGCGGATTTTATATATATCATGGTTTGCTTTCCTGCTATTATTCTAATATCCTTTCCAAATATGTCATGGTGCAGTTCCTGCTGGTTTTTGCGACGTTTTCTATCCGTATGCAGGTGGATTGAAGCCAATATATGTTCTTGATTATTCTAATATGCTTTCCAAATATGTCATGGTTGCTAAATAATTCCTGCTGGTTTTTTATTTTTTTATCCGTATGCATTTGAAGCCAATCTTGTT